GTCTCTAATGAAGCGTCATTCAGTGACGTATATTCAAATGGTTTCATTGAAATTATCGCAGTTATACACCTGAAATAATGGCATATAATTAATGATTTTTAATTTACGTTTTTATTTTCCATCCAGTATGTTGTCACGTCTGCTTATGTCAAGTTATTTTGATGCGTTCCCATCGTAACGCTAAGAATTGCTCAGTTCTACAATCCGCTTGATTTTTATTATCGAATTGACCAGCAGCTTGTTTCATATTTTTCGTCAAATCACATTACCCTACTAATGACACTGTGATTGTCAAGTTATCGTTACGTCACCAAGTAAACGAACTGACTGATGTCGGTCAGTTCCAATGAACTAACCGTTATACGCTACCTGTATTAGAATGAAAAGTAATATGGCCTTGTTGTTTTTCACATGTAACATTATTTGCAGTTGAAACGTCGAATCGCAAATTGTGGAGTATCATCTGCGATCAATTGAATTTGAATCAACATTAAGTCGGTGTATAGTCAAGTCATTTCTAACTGCCTCCAAAAATTCATTCCGAAGTTGCGCCAACTGAAGCGCTTTTTGAACTGTCAAAATTTCGCGTTTGAAGCAAACGAAACGTTTTTCCAGTCATAGCAGTTATTCGAATCCTTTCTTCGAAGGAACGCTGATGGAAAATGTTGCTACGAGCGATTCAGGTTATTCTCTTCGTTATAANCAATCATTCAAATCGTTCCAGGAAGGTATCCAGCAATTCACTACTAAAAATCCAATCTCAGTAATAATCAGAACGTAGCTTCTTCGTAGCACTTATATAGGTACGCAAAAGTATAGCGAAAAGCCATAACTCGCGTCCCCCTTGTCCACTGCAAAAATATTTCTCATATCCATGATCAGCTACATGAGTCCTACAATATGATATATGTTTCATTCCAAAAGGCGGGGGTAACTTCGTGACCTTTCCTCGTGAATACAATCATAAAAAAAAGAATAAAATACGATTCGAATAAAGGAATTTGCTAAAACATTTTTGACGATTTTTACGATTTGCATTAGTCAGAAAACATCAGAATTGGTTTCCTTTGGTATATGCATAAGTCGTCGTACAATTTAACGCTCCAGTTTGTTCGAGTTATATGACAAACGACAGCAATGCCATTGAGAATGTGCACAATGAATTCTTTATCATTACCTTCGATTCAAACAATCTCCAGTGTCATTCCAACCTAAATGAATGCATAAGTCATTGCAGTACGTGCTATCGCCATACCAAAATCGCTGTGGGAATCTTCCAGGTCGTCAGGTCCATCATGTTACGGTAGTCTGAATGCGTCCACATCATCGGCATGTGCATCCGGTATCGTTCGATCGAGTAGTGTCTCATCAAATACACCTGCATATGAGTAAGATTTTGGTTATTAGTTGCTGCACATGGCCATCAAATGCTACACACCAAACTGATGCACTCACCACAAAGACATGCAGTAAACGGCTCACAGTTTCACGCTTCATTCAAAGATGAATGCCAAAATCGAATCAACAAGCATTAACTAATTCAAAAATTGAGTGTACCTATTGTGCTGACAAATGTATATCAACAAAATATGTAAAATTCTCATTCATAGAAAGATTCTTTTCATCTGACCAAAAAAAAANAAAAAAAAAGATTACTCTCGTCTCATTTACCGACAAAGTGCGTATATATGCTCATCGCAAAGAATCGATTCGTACTGCAATGAATCCAGCAAATGCACCATATTTGCGTGTTTCATTCATCCCTCTGTATACCGCATGTATAGGGCTGAAGCCATCGAATGAAAGCCGTAGGCACCAGATAGCTGGCTCCGTCAAGCATGGATAAACGAATGGTTAGATATACTCGCTCATTCTCTATCATCGATATAGGCCTACATAAGCACAAAAATACTCTCTACTGCGCTTACATACAACAACATCAATGCACGACGAACTCATTTCACTAATGTTTTCGCATTCCAACGGACCACTGAAAGAAAAAGAAGAAGAAACATCATGTCAATGAATTCCTGTCGAATATTTTCACTGCAATTTTTGCCTGGGAATTTCTAATGAATTATTATCAGTAATGAATGTATGATAGTGTAGTGAAGCTGCGATGTATGGATGTATTGTATTCGGTGTGGTGTTGACTGCTTTGATAGTCATTTCACTATAGTCGTGCAATCATTTCATCAGCTGAACCGTTCCGAGAGTTCGAAGCACGATGTCATGAAGCATCTTCATTGCTTTTCCGTGAAGAACTATTCATCGTAACACAATTTTACTTGGTATTTATTTGCTAAGTAGGATTTGATGCCGTCCAATGAAGCGAATTATTTTTCGGAATTATTTCAAANATCGGATATTGCCAGATCCATTAGAGCTCTTTTCATTGTTCCAGTAATAAAATTACTGTAGCCACATTTGAATGTCAACAAAACATTAAAACAAGCATAATTAAAAGATGATTGCCTGCTACTCAATGATAGTTTTCGATTGGTAAACAAACCAACTAACTGAACGATGTCGTTGATTGTAGAAAATTGCCGAAATCCGATAGTGCTGATTTCGTTGATGCGCCGAAATTTCATTACGATATGGACTTCGATTTGAGGGCATTGAAAGCCGCACTGAAATCAGCCGAATTTTTGGAAGAATCTGGCTATCAATCCGTTTTGGAACGATCTCAGCACAATCTATACGGTACTGGCTGGTTGATCAACGAAAATATGAGTAACGATGGAAGTGAAGATGTCGATGACAATTGGGGTTAGTCGGTGTTATTGAAATTGCTTTCTTTATCTCATCCTATCTTCTCCGAAAAATGTCGCTGGAATTTCATCGGAAAAACTATTGACTAATCGATTCCGATGGACGTTATGAATGGAGCACTTTGAGACTAAAGGTGTTTTTAATTATTGTAATGCTCGCGGCCTAGGTGGAAGCGATCGAATCACTAAATAAAGAAAAAATCCAGACATTCTTATTTGCAATATCGAGCCGCAAATCGAGACATTCTTATTTGCAAAATATTTTTCGAAGCTGATTTTGCCAATGAAATTTTAACGAAAACTTGTCGTTCAATAAACGTTTTGCACCGGACGCGTGTAGCAATAGTAATTCCCGTACCCACTGAAGTTCATCAGACTGAATTCACCTATTTGATGAGATGAACGAACCTCAGAGAGAAGAGATTCGAATGCAAAGTTGGAACGCTGCACATAAGTGTATGTGGATGCGATCAGTTCAGATCAATCGGGAACTGTTTTGTTGAGATGTATCAACCAACATATCAATTCATTCCAAAGATGAAAGTAGATCTCGAGCAATATAGGGCTCGAGATTTATTTTTCATCATTGGATGAACTCTGTTCACGATGGGATGAGAATAGTTTTGCAAAGTGAGATTCATTATGAGAAAAAACTATTGTTAAGAATAATATAACGCATGTGCATAATGTAAGAGTTGATCATGTAATAAAATATATCTTCATCAATATTTCATAATCATTTTGATAAATCCTCATTTCCATTCGTTTGCTTTCCATTTACCGCACTCCTGATCCGATTACAACCTTAGTGCAGAATCGCGTTACAAATAATCTGTTAATGTTTCATTTGAGTTGTATAAAATTACGCTTCCTTGAAAGTATAATTTTTTGTTGCTTTTGTCCACAAATTGATCACATATAAAGCCCCATCCAGTAAACTGAGTATTGAATATGAGATGATTGAATTATATACAATAATTAATTGTTGGGATAGAAAGATCGTTATATTGCGTCATTCCTTGAATCTGAAGCTGTGCTGTAATTTGAAGCAATCTCACTGCTGAGATAAGCATTCGTTCGTACATTTTCCATAAATTATTCAAACCATCATAACGCAGACTGTTCCACTTTGTTCTGTGCTTAACTGAACACATGTAATTGAGATAGTTGATATCCATCGTCACACACTTGATTCACATTGTTTTTGAGAACTCTTTGTTCCATTTTCTGTGAATGTCCACGATATGAGGTGAATTATTGTAGTATATATAAAATAGCCATTATAAATAATAGTCGTACTATTATTAATGTACTCATGAAGTTAGTATGAAAACACATGCAAGGTATTTATTTATTTGTTTGTACTCACAGTGAGTATTATATTCTGTATATGACACACCCGCTATTCTACATCCCTTTCATATAGACTCCATCAACACAATCAATACTGTCTCCACAAACAGATATATTCATCTCAATATTGAAGCCTCAATTCACCTCATATATTCGCACACAACCATATTCTCTTAATCAACAAACTTATCGTTATGAGCATTTGTAAGTGATAATCTCATTGTTAATAGCCAGATTTTCGTCTGTTATTTNAGAGATCGCTGCTCCTACTCTTTTCGTCGTAGTTCGCCTTTTTGGAGATGATCTTCTCTCAAACTCATCTGTCGCCTATCATATCATTTAGGTTTATTGTGGAAAGACGAAGATGTCCGAAGAAGTACAAGCAATTTTGGGGATGGTTTTAATTCTTTTTAAAGAAATTTCTGAAGTGAATAGATATGTGAATTTCAGATGGCTTTATGGACGTTGGTGATCAACGTGTCAAAATCAAAGAAATGTCAGATATTCTTGCATCAAGATTCGCATTCATCTCAGGTATGATATAGTGTTTCTATTGATAGATTCTCACGAATCATTGTTGATGTGTGAATTTTGTCATCATTATGAGAACCGCTTCACTGATCCAGAATCATGCCAGTGTTGATGAATTGGTAAGGCATTTTGAATGGGCTCGTGGAGACTTCTCACTGTTATGTGCAGAATTTAATTCTGAATCAGTGGCTCTTATGTAAGGAAAAGTGATATTTTTGAAAATTTATTGACTTGAATGCAGTGTTATTCAATCTAATACTAAAGACTAGGGTTTGATCAGAGATCCCCAAGAGCCGGAGGCATGCGGAAGTAGGATTCGGAGACCTCCGAGCACCGACGAGGTTTCGGAGGCCACCGAGTCCAATGTACTGCTGACATATTGATTTTGTCCAACTGTAAATGTCCTCACAATGGATGATAGGATATTCCAATTCCTTGAGATGTTTGCTCGATAATGGATGCCACGACCTATTTATGCAATGGATATCAAATAACTGTGCAATTAAGATAAACCAAAGTTGTCTAATGATGTCACCATTATCAAATTACTATAACTGTTAGTGCGCACAACTGAATGTCAGCATATTAACAATAACAATCATAGTAAACCGCACTCACATATTGTTTTCATGCTAATCAGCTAATTCATTATGCATATTAATTAGCTAATTCATTATGCAGTTCATTACCTATTCACTTATTTGTTATTCATTCATTCAGTCGGGTGACTATCAATCAACTAATCCGTTCGTATATGCGAACTGCCCATAAATATTTTACACATTTACTACAAAACGTTACTTTTGTTCAACATACAGACGAATGTGTGAGTGCCTCACAAAGAATACAAATTTTTGAGGAATCAAATTATTGACGATTATAAGATGAATGATGTATAGTGAGATTGTCTGCGATATGAGAAAATAGTTTCGTTAGTTCTTTCTCAGCATTCAATCTCTTCATTATACACCTCAATATGTGAATCAGATGCTGCTATAAACTTGTAACTTTTCAATTTTGATCAATCTCCGTATCGCCGTCAACATCAATATTTCTGCCTTCTAATCGAACCCTCATTTTTACATCCCCAATAAAAATCGTATCTCAATTATGATCGCAGATTTGTGTAATTTATTATCGGTTTGAATAATGTCATCTAACCAATAATACAAAAATGTGTCTGTTACTGTTCACTGATCATGCAGAGCAGAAGTTTCAAACGACATAGTTAGGAAGTCGGCAAACGGCATCGTTATTATGACCACAAATCAAAGTAGTAAATTCTGAAAGCTGGAACAGCGAAAAATTCATTATGAATGCATTAACAACTATGAGAAATGACAATATGCATGTGAAATTCATAAAATTCATTTGTATGTGAAACTTCATAAATGTTGGTGTTCTTATGCAGAATATTAATGCTCCTATGCGAATTGTGACGTATATCGTTTGGTGAAGGACGAAAGGCCCGCAGGAAGCGCGTTTTTTGAGGTTGTCGAACTATGATTTGAGAAAATAATGACAGTCATGCTGGATAGCACTCGCAGAAATTATTCCATTTCATCAGTAGGAAATTCAGCCAAAATTGATCGGAGTTAGCGATTACCACAGATGGTTTCCGTCGTGAGTGAAACTACTTGGATATTGTCATATCCACTTCATATGAACTCCTTTCGGTGCCATTGTTCACATTCGCTATCAATAAAGTTCTGAGCCAAAAAGAAGCACAGATAAAGGAACAAGAAGTTCTTTCATTGGCAGTAATTAACAGTTCACGGTGAAATTCGCCTTACGCTATTTCATATCATTTTGTTCTGTAGCGAGCAAACAGATGATCTCAGTTGCAATCCATTCATTTGGTTTTCGTAGTATAAGCTTTTGAAGTGCAATTTTGTGCAGAACATGCAAATTGGCAGATTATCTGTATTCATTTACGTTGATCACTAAAGTGATTCATTTCCACTGCATTATGGGCTCAAGTTGCCATCGATCTCCGAATACTTTTCGTTCTTTACGAATTGATGTTTCATTTAAAGTGGGTCTTATTTTAGTGAGATGTTACCGAATAAATTATAACTTTATTTTGACTATTTCAGTTCCTAAGGCGACCAAAAAATTGCCTTACGATTAGACAGCTTGTAGATCATGTTTATATTGGTGATGCTTGTGAATTGCATTCCGATTCGTTGAGTAACATCAATGTTAACATTATCTTGATATTTCGGATTATATCAACTGCGATAGAATATTCACCTTCGAATGTTCAGTGATAATGACGTATTGAGAAAAATCTAACTGATATAAATTTCAAGATGACATTTTATTCTGTTTAATAAAGGAGAGCTATGCGGAAACTAGTGCAACGAATGTGCATATCTCGGTTGAAAGTATTGAGTAATATCAGGCTGGATTGTAAAATTGCAAGCAATCGGCATGTTCCATCAATTGGCATTTGATCTATCAGCACCTTTTGTACAATTTCTTAACCTCTGAGAATTACGTTCATATTCACACCGCCCATTCGCTTTTACCAAATTTCTAAAAAGAAAGGGTCACCTACCAAAAACGACTCTTGGGTTGTCCTTATTCACAAATTGACTTAATAGATTATGCTTTATTTACAGATATTTTCCAACCGTTCATCAGTCTTCTACTAACTGCATTACAGATTTTTGACTGCACCAAACACTTCAATGATTCTATCCGTGACCACTTCACTGATAACTTTTCCTTTTTCTTTGCCATGCGTGATACTATCCTTGCGTTTTCTGTTCTGTGTCTCCTATATACAATGGAACAGTTGATCATAATACTCGCCTCGATAAATGTTTTCGATGCATTTCAGTCGCAATCGGTGTCTACTGTTTATTGTTCGAGAAAAGGTTGAATTGCAACAGCATCATTATTCCAGTAGACAGTCGGTGTTGAACAGTTATTGTATGTAAAATGAGCATTTCTTGGATCAACAGGAGAAACTAGTCAGGGAAAATCGAAAATCCGAAATTCGGAGCATATTTGTAGTGAACAGTGATGCAGTTGAAGAGTATAAGAATGCAGGAAATAATGAGGTTAGCAATAGGACAGGAAATTCACCATCGCCGGAAACAGGAAAGCCAAAA